CTTTGAAGGTTTGTTGCGTCAGCGTATAAGTGATTATCAATCCTAAACGTCTTATTTGTTCTCATACAAAGGTTTCTATGATGAGGACCCTGATGTTACGGGTTCAGACAGGGAACTGTTGTCTCTACCCCGCGCTTTTATCCTACAGACAAGATATTGACTTACATAACGATCCCACGAATTGTTCTATTTTAGATGACTATGGGAATTGGTGGTGTTTTAATCAACCTTACATAAGATATAAACTAGAGAGTCGTTAAATCCTGGTAGCAACGCGAGCGTCTCTGTTTACCCTTACTGACTTCAATTAAAGCTCGTGCATTTCAATAGTGCATTCAAAATTCAAAATTTTTAAACAATGATTCTTCAAGTGAGATGCAATAAAGTGGCGTCTCCACGTTCTCTGTTTATCTTGTTATGGATGTATTTGGTCGCTTGAGTAATTGGAATGCACCAAAGTTGAAATCGTTAAACCGGATTTCCATAATCCGGAAACGCCTTACATACTTACACTACTTGAAACGACTATATTCCTTACATTGATAATTAACTCTGACACAAAATTGTTGCCATGACAATCGTTATGACTTGTCAAAATAAAATGTTTTCGTTTCGATGAAATCAAGGTATGGGGAGCCATTGAATTTTGCGGAAATGTGTCCTTTAAAATCATTGACGTCAAACATCTTTTTAAGATCTTGTCTTGGTCTCGGAATTTTACATGTAATTGAAATAGGTTGGGTCCCATTAGAAATTAAATTCAGATCTTCATTTCAGATCTTTCAACGTGTTGACACACATATATATCGGGTAAGTACCCTGGTGTTTGTATTGCAATAGAAATGACCTAAACAAGTGTCCCACTTCACCACCGAATTCGGATCGCTATCTCTTCGTATCTCCTTTCATTACACGATACTGTACAGTGAACAAAATTTAAAAACCTGACATCGTATGCGTCGTTTACAAGCTTGTAACAGAGCACTTTAAAATCAGACACCTTCACTGATAAAAAAATATTTAAATTATGTTTTATTATGTCATATGGCAGGTTGTAAAATCCAGCCTGTAAAGATCGGAAAATGTAAGTGTGTTCTATTCAGTTTTCGTCTCCTACAACCGCGTCCCCTAAAATTGGATACAATGGGTTTATATGCCCCTGATGAAACTGAAGTACAGGGTGGGAATATCTATATGTGATACAGCTTATTGCACATTCATGCACCGTGACTTTACTTTGCTTCTTGATGAGCAACTGGACAAACATGTGTACCAGTAGCCAAATCTGTACATTTGTGACACATGTCCTGTGACCTCATCTTGATTTCCACCACAAGTGAGGCCTTCATTATCACACTTCAAGGGTGAACGTTGAATGCTGATTTGATAGATCATATTTTCTACTAGATATTAATTTATGCAACAAATTAATTTCGTCATTCATACTTTTGACAGTTTCTTCTAAGACGTACTTGATTTTTAGTGACCTCTACTATTCAAAATTTCCCTTGTTATTTACAAAATAACATTTTTCACCTTCGATAAATATATCATATTTCATGCCACAATTTTCTTAAACTTAGTCTGGATCAAAAGAACCCAATTCATTGATTTCGGGATGAAGTGTTTCCGCAGTACGCTTTGTAATATAACGCTGCATGCATTGCATTTTCAGTACGCTCTCAATCACGCTATCAGTTTCACAAAACACAAGATCACGTTGTTAAGGCAACCGTTTGAACAATTTCAGATTATCAATAAATACGATTTATCATTCCGAGCATACAATGGATACCGATTGCCGAAATGTCTCAAGAATGTGAAATGTATTACAGTGATAGGAGAGGTAATATCTATACATAGATTGAAATGTGTCGGGGTGTCATGTACTTTCGACACAAATGGTTTAGATCAATTCTAGATCTGTATATATACCGAAACGGTACATTAGTCAATTTCATAAACCAAAGTATGACGAAAGGTAGAAAAACCATTTTGGTCTAAGTAATGAAAAAAAGTTTATAATTTTTACCTGAAATAAAATTATATATAAAATCATGTCACCATAAAGATGTATACGAGTGAAATTTTTAAATAGCATCAGTCGAAATTGAAACAAACAAACAAGCAAACTTGATGTGTAACTCTTTTTGTTGTTTTTGTTTTATATATATGGTTCAAAACTAAGATATTTCAGAGTGTGGATTTTAAAAATTTTCGTTGACTATAGTACAGTGTCTGTATGTCGTTTTACACATAACACTTCAGGAGGTTATATATATATTTGTGACTACATCGATGAGTCATGAGTTTTATTAAATCCGTCGTTAAATTCAAATTATAGAGTAAGGTTACCTCCAATTATAGTCGTAATTATGATAAACTGATTTAAATTTGAAGTAAAATTCTTTAAAGCTTTGAGCAGATGGAAATAGGGTATGAAATAGACATTGCTTATTTCACTACAATTTACGCTTTGCGTTTGTGTGGAAGTTTTCCATGGAGAGAAAATGCGGGACAAACGACTTGATTAACTTTGCAAACCTTTTAACAAACAATGAATGGAGAGAATGTATACTTGAAAGGGTTAACAATTTTGACTTATCACTTGTCAGCTATCTAAAGGATAAGACAGACCTTCAAAAACTCGTCATATAATACAAGAGTTAATTATACAAAGGATAACAGCAGAACTCTTCAATGTGAAGGCGTGTTCATTAATTCTTCCTTTACAGCTTTACTCAAGAGATAATCCCCACGACCTACACTACGGATTTACACAGAATGACCCTTGCATAGCACTTCATACACATCTTAACACGCGTACAGCGCCAATCCTTGAACTTACAAAACAAATATTTACCAAGAATGAAAAATTAATTCACAACTGATATCAGAACCATGTTTTTTCAAAGAATATTTCTCTATTGTTAAATAAGGAAAACATCGCGCTCCATGAGAAATCTGTCGCTGAATGTATTCCTCCATTCGTCAGTGCTTGTATATATAGAAATAGCTCGTGTTACTGAATAGAGCACACAACTGATTGATTAAAACGCCGGAATGAAAACACGGCAGTTGTTTTCTTAAATAGTTTATCCTGATCTACCATATCATCGCTAAATCCACCTTCCGGCAGATTCCAAGTTCATCTCCCACGCAGTATATGTATAATGCTGGCTTGGAGAGGTCAGGTTTACCTTAACACATGAATAAAAGTTTGCATGTATGTACTGAGTACTAGAAAATAAACCGTAAACGTTATATTTATGCCGTCATCAATATTGTGGTGTCTACCTATCAAAGTACTGAGAGTGCATTTCTAGTCCTTTTCATCCTTCACTTTTATGGTGAGCGTGAACAATTCATGCATAAAAATATTGGTAAAACATAATTTCATTTTATCTTTCTTTTGATTTACCACCTGATGAACCCGCCTATTCTTTTCGTCATTTTCGTCCGGAGACAAACATCAATTATAATCGTTCGTAAAATTCCGCCAAAAGCAAAATTTGAATTCAAGACTTTACAACAAAATTTGTCCCCAAGTTATGCACGCCTCAAACTTTTCGATTGGAAAAGTTTGAAAAGAGCTGATAGGTTGAGAGTTAGGGTCTGTTTATGATGACAGTGTATCAGTGTTTATTTTCCTTTATACGAAAAGATGACGAGAAGACAAGGCATAAAAGTCCGGGTTGGTAAACAGACATATGTATACAGCATCTGGCCCTTGGGGACTATTTATTAATATACAAACATATACCATATTATCTATGTTATCATTCCTACGGCACGCTGTCACAAATCCGAAACATTTTCCCACGTACACTGTCATCAAATCTCGCTTCTATTGTCGGGAAAAATAAATACTCCAATGATGCGTGCAGACTGCCGTATAATTTTATGTGAGAAATTTCGGAGTTTTGTCTGTTAAGAGCGATTTTATAGAGTTTCGGTGTATGAGTAGATAAGACGTACAACGGATGGAAAGGTTCGGGATACAGACGAGTGATGTCCTTGTCATCATCCGTCATGATCGCCGATGATTCATCCCTTCCTCTCAAACAAGCTATCGGAAATTTGTCATCATCGTCTACATCAAAAAAGTTACCAACTGTTACAGTGTCGGAGCGGTTTTTTGAAACTTTGGTATGTGAAGGCGATACAACTTCGTGATTTCAATGAAAAAAATAAGTTCGGGGATACGGTTGAATAAATACATGACCTGATTATACAGTCGATCATCCGAGACCGTCATGACAGTCATAGTCGTCATCAAAACATGTTCTTTGATGTCGCTGACCATTTGCATAATTTTATATTCAAAATTAGGAAAATTTATGTTCTAGCTGATGAGAGCATGTCGCTCCGTCATCTTAATGTTCTGTCTAAAAGAAGAAACGGTGGTCTCAAAATAGTCATCGTGTCGCAAACTGAATGAAAAAGATGCTCGCTTTTTATAGCTCTTTTATGATTACACAACACGTTAACTGCTGAACAAATCGGTTTCCCCGATGTTAACACGGGGCTTGACATATTACCCCCTATCGTCACTCGAGTGGAACGCGTCACTGACTAAATGACTCTATCGTCACCCGACCGTGCTCCTTAACATATTTTACTTCTGTACGACGTGGCACTTATATCTTTCGGCGCGAATATTTTTATTAATGTACATCATTACATCGTTTGAACAATGTTTTTATGTTGTGCATCTGTTTATCACTTTGCTATCAGCCAGTTCCGGGTTCCGTGACATTCCCGTCAAATGTAGGGGGCGCTATCTGTATCGCCAGGACATGAAGTCCTGTATCTATGACAACAGACCACGCGTGAACGACATATATTTCACAAAGAAATTCTTTAACGAATAGTTTAGATATTTAAGTGTGCGTGCAGTGGTGCAACAAATGTCATCAAAATGAATTCAATAAACCTAATTTTTTGAATTATTTTTTTTGTCAATATTTAAATAAATGACATAATTTTGTATTTTTCAGGAGAATTGTACGTGGTGCAGTGTCAGCGGGCGCAAGGTTGTGCTCAAACCTACCTCATTACTCCAACTGACAGAAAAGGAAAGGCTTGCGCTACAGAAAATAGCTCTCTCTAAACTGCAGGATATGGGATTGGGATGTAATGTGACAATACCTAAAGGTAAACAAATAAAATATCTTATAACATAAAGCTACATCACAGGCGTGTTGTGATAATCTGTGAACACTCCACAGTGGGCATATTAGGGGACAGCTTTGTTTTAAAAGCTACAATTAAGAACATGGACCAGAAAATCAGTCATTTTGCTTCAACTCTTTCCTCGCGGAAGAACGAAACCTTCGAAAACATCTATTTCTGAATCATTGCTTACAATTACTTACATGTCAAAATGGATATAAAATGACATTTCAATAACTCATTTAAAAGACATAAAATAATAACGGGATGTGGGGAGTTGTTGGGGGGCGGGTAGTCGTATTTCGAAATTAACGTATTTCATTGAAACTTACCCGTGGACGAGTTATTTCCTCGAGGGTCACACTAAGTTCTACGAAACCCGAAGTAAAACTATCATTGTTTACTAAATATAACAAAAGCTGTGACGTGGCCGACACGGACTCAGATTTCATCAAATTGTGAAATAGGGAGGAAAATGGCTTTGTTAAGAAAAGACACGCTTACACAAAGTTTTACACTCCTATCGAACACGTCATCAAGAGCAAAGTGTCGGGACACAAAAAGATGGCGACGAAAGTAAACAAATACGTACATCGATTGTTTGTAAATAATTTGTAACCACAAAGACGAATAGTGTTTTCTTCAGAAGGTTTATCGAATTGGCTCAATTTACGTACAGAAGACATGACCCTGCACTAGCCTGTCTCGACAATATACGTATATTATATACTTATGTATACCTAAACGTGCATCAAGGGATATGTTGAAACTCGCGGTCCATCTGATATCGTTTATCCTAACTTAATGGGCGATCGTGTTTCTCCCGAACAATACCGACAAATTCACAAAACGAAAAGTAGTTGGATATAAAATGTTCCATAAAGTTCCACATTATACATGTTAATGTGATCTAGATCTATAATTATTAATACTCGCATTCATATCTAGATTCAGATGGATATTTATGGCAATTAATTGTTTACTTTTCTCCAATAAAACAAACATATATGTCGATACACGACACTATACATGCATGGATGCAGATGGTTGAACTCAAAGCATGAAATACGAAAATTGAAAATAATTTGCTATCATAAATACCCTTAATAAAAATTTAGTCATTGGGTCTAAGTTTGTTCAATTTTAAATTGGTTAAAATCCCATCCAGGAAAATATCCTTGAAAAGAACGAAACTATGTTTAAAACCACCCCTTCTCCCTTCGTTTCTCTATTGGACGTCGGGGTAACTACGGTACTATAATCTACCTCTGTCTCGGTGATTTACATACATCTAAAAGGGGTCACTAATTATAACCTAAGATATGTTTTCTCACAGAAATAATGTTTAGGTGGCTTAATTTCCGGCCATCAAATGGTCAAATCATGCATGTCCGACGAGGTCGATAAAAATCTATTGACCATTGATAAGTTTTAATTACATCAGGAAATTAGTTCTCTGTGGTGATTTTATGCTATTCACATCACTAATCGGGATCTAATTACCACAGAACCGACGGCACGAACATTTTACAATGTCAGCCGACACAGAATAATTCAACCTCCACATTTGATAATACTTTTAGATTGAGAGGAATGAAGATTTTTAGTTTTTTAATAATGTTTACTTTTTAGATAGAAGTAGGATGGAAAATGACTAAAATCTTTAAAAATCTTCGAACTGGTAAAGCCCATCGCGTTCGAACTGGTAAAGCCCATCGCGATGGTAAATGTTGAAACAGATCGAGTCAACAGTAAAATGGCGTTTTATAGCACATCGCTTTACACAAGGAAAGATGGATGAGGATTTTTTTTCGAACTGTCAGACACTCCCTTTGATTGGACCAGGAGGACCTGTAGCTTAAGTGACCGATATAAAGACGTTTGGTTTCGATGTAAAACTAGACACACGCGCTAGTGTAACAGTCAGGAGACGACGCAGATATTTTTTTTTCATGTAACGTTGGTGACCATGAAGAAATACCTACACATTACATCTGAGTTGACCACGACTGGACAAACAATGGTTTTAGTGTCCAGTGACTCACACAAGGCAACGTAAATTATCATTGACCCTGTGGACAGTGATGGTCATCTGGTGTAAATACTGACCAGTTGACCGCTACCATTAGGTACGACATGTTAATTCACTACATCCGATTCTGTAGCGGATCTCGTAGATAACAGCGTCGCTACCAATGCGCCGTCAACGTCTCGTTGTAGTCTTCAAGATGATCATAGGTCGCTTGTATTGAACTGTGCCTCCAAACATTTAACGCTAAGATGCTCCGTTTCCTTCCTCAGGAACAGAGACATGTCCCTAACCTATCAGTGAATCAGCTAGCCTTTCCTTCTACCTGAATGGAATTGTATGGTTTTCCTATTCTACATGAAAACTGAGAATACCAGCATGCCCCTTTCTTCCGATAGAACGCTTATGTGTTCCCATAATCCCAGAGAACAGTTATATGTTACTAGCTTATCAAATGACATGAGTCTGTTTAATAGGATCGCCAGGACAGCTTTACTGTTCCTTATTATTCGGAAAATCTTTTTATAACCAAATTATGGATTTCATAATTCCCCAATATTTTGTGAGAGTAAAAAGCTTAAAAATTCTGTCTCGTATTATGATACTACATAAAGACACGCCTACATGTTTACCAGTGAAGAACTGTAAACAATAACAATATGGCTGATCTTGGTGAGATAGATGATCGTTTATGGAGTTGTGAATAACAGGTGGGAACAGACACTCCAACGGTCAACAATTTTAGCGTTCAAGTGTGAATGGTGTGTTTATCTGGTTTTGTTGTTCAGCATAAATAAACTTTAAATCTCTCCATTAATCATTATTCGAGGAGTTCCGTTTGACTTTCTGATCCTGAAAATAAACTGATTGTGACTTACTTTTAAAATTTCCTCTTTGCATTGTTAACGATACGGTCCTATGAATTTAAGGGTTTACATAGCATTTTACTGGTGCTTATAGAAGTATATATCATCTTAACAAAAGCAGGTCCATTGTACGTTCATGTAGAATGTAAATCTATACAGTTGTTCATGAAAAACTTTGTGCGGTGGTATAAAGGCTGATATTTAGGGGTAAGATTGTGATATTACATTCTCTACCCACGTTATTTCAAGGGGTGAGAATGGCGACTCATGTGGGTCCATTCACGCTTCGGGTATAGCGTTCTCTGCCTGAACTAAGTGTCACGCTACTTTATCTGATAGTAAGACAATGACACCTAAATATTATCTGACAAAAATTGACATCAAATGACTGCAGCGTTTGCCTAAAACTTCCATGGACGATGTATTCAACAGTGTTCCTAGTTTGAATGAGACCAAACGTGTGTTCAGTGAAGTGTAAAGCCGAGAGAAATTGTGCTAGCAATATCTTTGGTATAATATATACCGGACATTAACATATTATAGACCGTCAATATGACAGAAACCGCTTCCATAAATTTCTCGAATTACAATTAAGGAGTCGTGTGTAATAAAACGTTATGATAGGTCCTGATAATAAGTAATAATGAACAAACCCCCTCTGCGCCCATTAAAATAGAACTAACATTTATTTGTGTATATATAAATAATAATATTTCTCACGGATTTCCGTTAAAATTGTAGGCTTTAATGGAAATTTTGATGGATGATAGTGATTTATCAGGCTTAATTGACCTCAAGCATCAAGGAATGTACTCTTCCGTTTACAGGCATTGTCCTCATAAATCCACTAAAAATCCCATCGACTTCTAACGAAGTGGTGAGAGCGGATCAATTACTACTTCTTTATTGAAAATTCGGACTTTGAAGAAATACTGATAAATCAACTGTACACGTTGGTTAGCTAAAATCTTAATAGCCTGTGATATATTTTTGTGTTATTCTTTCTTTATTTTTTCCTCCTCTTTCTATTTTTCTTTCTTTCTTTTATGATTTAAATCTGTCATTTATATTAGAGTTATTTCCCATTAAAATATGTCAGAAATGATTGTTTAATCTGTTTTCTGTTTATTTCTGTGCAATAATTCTGTCTAGTTTTCCTTTGATCTTTGTCATCAATATGTTAATATAATTAAACAAATTTCGTCAGCATCCGAAACACACTTTAAATCGAAGTGCAATAAATCTGTCAATCCGTGATCCGTTAATCCTGTCAATCCGTGATCCGTTAATCATGTCAACCCGTGATCCGTTAGGCTACTCGACTCTCAACACTGTACACAAAATGGTGTGGAGTACCCGAATAAGTATATTGACACGGTAAACACTTCAACTTGCACGGACAGGGCTTTATGGTCTAAGTGTAGGGTATTAGTGACCGGAAGTGGACATAAGCCCACTGTATTAGTGACCAGAAATGGCTTTGACTGTTAACAAGTCCACAGTACACAATACACGATCCGTGGGGTGTGCCATACTTAGTAGGATTGTGTTACGGAATGTTTGGTCCTAAGCTCTCGAATTGTTTTTACAATGTCAAGTCAGAACAACCTTAAGTATTATGTAACGCGATTTAAATACCGCAAAGTTAGGAACCCTATAATTCACATAACAACTACAGCTGTGGTGATGTTATTTGTCTGTATAGTATGTGTTCACAGGTAAGAACCACATACTATATAAACAAATAACATCAACAGCTGTGGTGTCCACAGATAAGAACCATACACTATACAGACAAATAGCATCAACAGCTGTGGTGTCCACAGATAAGAACCATACACTATACAGACAGCTGTGGTGTCCACAGATAAGAACCATACACTATATAGACAGCTGTGGTGTTTACAGGTAAGAACCATACACTATACAGACAAATAGCATCAACAGCTGTGGTGTCCACAGATAAGAACCATACACTATACAGACAGCTGTGGTGTCCACAGATAAGAACCATACACTATATAGACAAATAGCATCAACAGCTGTGGTGTCCACAGATAAGAACCATACACTATACAGACAGCTGTGGTGTCCACAGATAAGAGCCATACAGATAGATATCAAAGACATATATAAATGGTGTGAAGTCATCCTGAAGACGCCCACATGGATCAAACATGTTTGTGTTTGAAATGACATCACATTATAAGCCACACAACTCTAGGTTCAAACCTGAACTTTCGGATTACAATATACTCTTATAAAAAATGGCTTATGTGCGGGATATCATGGCTGGTGTTCGTTTAGCCGAAAGCGATACATAATGATATAGATCCCCTTCTTATCTGACAGAGACCAATGTTCTCTGTTTAAGATTCTTGATCTAGAAATCAGATAAATAGGATGTTTTCATGTATTATTTCCGGAAGCAAAAAATGTACAAAAGGGTTGAAATGTTTTGGTATTTTTCTTGATAGTTCTTAACTCGATATATTTTCGTATTTACCAGCTGGTAAACTGTTACTTATACCATCTAACACTCTCTCGGACTGAATATGCAAGGATATGGTTAGATTGAACTATTTATAGAAATTTGAAATATGATAAGTCCTTTCTCGTCATTGCTGTTTTTTTCCATAGCAGATTATGTTGAGAAAGGTAATACTCAGCTATTGTGATGTAAATACAGATATATTGCGCTAGAGTTTCCTATTTCATAACATCAATCAAACATATTTCAGTAGTTTTACCGTGTGAACGTATTGATATAGATGTTATCATCTTAAATACCGTCTATCAATTGTATTGATCACGTGATAAATGTAATTAAGGTATAGATACAAAGGTGTAAGGTTTCGCGTTGATTTTATCAGGCAGGTATTGATCGACGTTAGAGGTGTTTAATTTAGGACTTTTTCATAGATATCAACGATATTTAGTAATCAACAGATGAAAACGATATGTAATCAAGCAATCAGAGAACCAGGGGAAGTGGAATAGAACCAGGTGATCAATATCGATAAATTAAATATACAGTTCTATAGGAATTTGTTTATATAAATAAATGTAGGGATATCCGACACTACTTCAATGTATGCATACTGTCGTTATGATATAAATATATAGATATAATTACGGGCAAATCCTTATATTACGTGTATTTCAAAGCCAGCCTTGAACTTTATGCCTGTTTAAGTCCCTTAATCATGAATTTTCAAAGGTCACCGATGGCATCTGTGAAGGTATATACATCATGGAAAATGATGAGCAAAATTACGGCATTTTCCTCGTTTTGACCGATATTTACAAAACAAATGTGTCATTCTAGAAATAGATGACATGTTGGCGCACATCCGTGTCACAAGAATCGTCACTTACCTATATACGTATCGACTTGCGGTTGAGGGACACATTTTTTCCATACCGTTCAAAATTCCTGCGGTGTGATTCGATTGATAAATAACTTCAGGTCATGGATCACGGAATTCGCGAGTGTGGCGCAGAAATTGACATTGTTATTAACAAGAAATTGTGTAATTTACATTTCTACTGATTGGCGGTATGTTAGTTTCATAAATTGACTTTCGGTGCGTAAATTACAATGTGTTTCTTCCGTTTTTAATGAAAAACACTCAGAGAAAAAAATTGTATTCGCCTATCAGTCTTATTATGATGGATGGTAAATCATCAAACTTATTGCGTATTTTTTGTGTGATATGCAATAACATGAATATAAAAAACACATTCCAGCTCAATGTAAAATTTAAATGCGAATTTATCAATCCTGTAACTATATTTGCATTATTTATGTGAATTTAAGTGACAGTCTTCTTACAAATTGTACTCTATCTTATTATAATGTGGTTTTTACATCCCAACAAATGATTGGAGGTTTTAAAAAGTACAGTTAATTGTTATGTTGAGTAATGATTTAAACTATTGTACAGGTCTCGGGGATACATGGTTTGTTATTGTATTTCAATTTAGTTGTAAGATTAAGTGTCATCGTAGTATATATTTCACATCAGAGCTGATTGCCTTTTCAGAGAAAGGGAAATTATAAAATTATATGGAGAGGATAAATTTTTTTTAGAGAAGTTCATAAGTCAAATCTGTCACGGAATACAACCCACCATCACACCTTCATTATATTCCTTGGGCTATTTTTGTGTATTGTAAAAATATTGGTAGTGTAAGTGTTGTCCAAGTATGAGGCCCCGGATTATGTTATACACCCTAGCCCCCGGACCAGGGAATGTTGATTTTTTAGTGTATTCTGATGCCTTGAGGTTATAATGTGTATTTTGGAGACTCCAAGCATACAAATGTATTTTGCATCCTCGAGGACACGGGTTTGTGTATATTGTGAGACCCCGGGGCCCGGGCCGCCGGTTTATGTGTCTTTAAGGTGTTGGGTGACACTTCATAGCGTGATGACGCGGTTGATGGATTATGTCCCTTGAGGATGTGAACATCGTCGTCTCGGAGTCTGGACCTGGATAGCCCCGGGGTGTTTTCGATACTAATGACACGGATACGAAGTCAGGAAGGGAGCCGGTCCTTATCTCATATTTATGATACACAAATATTTTTCTTAGTAGTCAATGTCTCACTATAAGTTTTATTTAGAGTACATTTCAATGACGTAGATCACAAATCCATCTTACAGTATGACGGGGATGATCATCGACAAAGTGAAATTGATAATGACAATAACAAAAACGGTGATTTTACTTGTATGTACAATGTGTATTTTTCCGCAATAAAAATATGAAGCTGATGGACATTTCAAATAGCTTTCAACTTAAACATGTTGTCTGAAATTAACATGAAAATTCAATTTCAAATTTTAATTTACAGAGCCTACGGAAACCCGGCGGCACAAACGGCCTACGTTATCCTTCGCCAAGGCGCGGAGAGCTCGCTCGGCCAACCTTAGTGCCTTAATCGACAAGGTCAAGGACAAAGATAATGACCACAGTCTAGGTAGGTCACATCACAACCTCTTTCCCATAAAATCTCATTCAGACGTTATTCGTTCAAAGACATTAACAATGATTCCTCTCTATGTGTTTAATATAACAATTTTTATGTGGACGTTTTACATTGACAGTCATATGTCCCACTTTCCCGGAAAAGTAAGGTTATAATGAATTTTAATAATCATTGGAAGTGCAAGGATGATGAAAAAAAAATATTGATATTATAAAGATAGAAAATGAAACTAAGGGTGCATATGATGTCCTGGAAAGTTATTTTTCTGTTTGATATTACAGATAACGGGTCCTCGGGGATGGTGTTTGGTATCCATCTTGCCAAATGTATAGCCAATGATGCCGAACTCCAAAAACGCAAAAGTGCTGCTTCCTTAAAAGACCGGTCAGATGACGTCATCTTACACCGGAGGGGGCCAAGGTGGGTTAAAACTAACCAACATACTCATGGACCGGTTTATCTTACTGTTACTGACTTCTATTTCGACCATAAAATCCAAGTAATGTATAAAATAATTCCCAATTGAACTCTGGAAAAGCGGACACCCATTGTTGTGTGTTTTATCAAAAGCCATATAAATATCTCATTTTGGATTCAGTAATCGCATGTTTTAAACCTTTGTGGCAGAGTTGTCTTTATCACAAAGTTTATCCTTCTGAATAAACACGTTCAGTATACTTTGTCAAGCTACATTGAAATATAATCTATTGTTTATTCCACAGAAAATCCAGCAGTTCCTCCCACGATTCCTTGGACAATCTTGCGGAAAATGGAACATCTAGTTTATCTCCGGCTGTCAATAGAGTAAGTACTGACTGTTAACAGTTCATAAGATATTTCTTATAATATTAGATATTAAAAATCCCCAAACATAGGAAACTGATTTATCATGAAATCGGAAAGCTCACTCAAATATCATCAAAGTTACCATCAAAGTACAGTTTATGTGAATCGTTAGCAAAATGGAAGTTGTTGTTTTCGGGAAAAGAAAAACAAAAATCTTTATTTTAAAAGCTTATCGGTTTTTTTTTGTCCATCAGAGGGCGCCCAGTTCCGACTCTTTATCTGAATCAGACTGCAGTCGGAACACCAATAATTCTAGTCTTCTGGACGCTTTGTCGTTATCCACATCGCGACAAGGGAGTCTGCCAACGGAACACACAGAGTACACTTCCGGTTCACCACAAGTGCCACATATTGTAAACACGTGTTTTAAACATATAGAAACGTATGGTAAGTTGTATGATTCTTTCTTTTAAATGGTTTTGTTTTCAAACATATCATTTCTTGATTGCATTACATATCCCTACTTCTTATTGATATATCTTTATGACTTAACGATGATCTTCATTCCACACACTGTGTATGAACACCCGAGATACGAATTTTGTATGCCCACATCACTGTCGTTTAATATTTTATTATGTGCAATAAATAACTTGCTTACTGGTATTGTGTAGTAAACCTGTGATTACACACGGATATCGGAGTCTATAAATAGAATCTCAAATCTCATATAATTATATCGTCACATAAACAAATGGAGGGTAAAACTATGTAACTATTAAATATTGAATCGTGATAGGAAATAGAGACAAATGAAGTTTGATTTTAATACCCTGGTTTTTAATAATTGAGCCAAGAAAAGTGTTGAATTTCAAGATTGGAACTTCAGAATTAATCCGAATTAATTAAATCAGCCTTAATTTTATTTGAGCGTCATCAGTGATGATGTTTTTCGAAATTTCTTTGAGCAAAACCAGCGATTCAAAAAATATAGTTTGATATATATCATATCGATGTCTTATTTTAACGACCCAAAACTAGTAATTCAATCTATGTGAGCTCTCACGGGGCGTTAACTGTGGTGAAATAGTATCAAAGACAAAAATGAAGAAAAAAACTTTTTATTTCTAAAAAGGTCATCAAACTTGAAATGAAAGTCGTTATAGGGTACTTAGACCGGAGTGATAATACAGGGTTGTCATCAAATCTAGGTTTATAGCACCCGTGAGAGATCACAGGTGCTTTGTCACATTCGAGGGGGCGGGGCAGTTTCTTACCAACACGTGTTATTATCCTCACGTGCGTAGTGACACACAGACTAGATATACCCTATTACAAACATGTTTTTGGAAAAAATCTTCACTAGGTTGTTTTTATCACCGATTTATTTTGACATTTGCTCTGTTTTCTATTTTCCAGGCTTACGGGTTTTAGGAATTTTTAGAGTTGGATCATCTAAGAAAAGAGTGAAACAGGTGTGTTGACACAAATATTTAGACAATTTTATTTTGCTATAGCGATTGTTAGTGAGTATTTTAGCAGTAGTAAATCTGTCCGCAGATTCTATCCTTGGATTTATATGCCGGTCAATCTAACATAAAAGAGTTAGATTCACAAACATATTGGATTTCAAAACCGAAGTCGTGAAATATAAAATGTGTTTTCACATTTATATCATATTCAGTGTGCCTTTACCGTAGAATTAGGATGACATAAAGTACACAGTTGTCTTTAATGGAACAGTTACTCATTTAATTTTATCATGAAAGCTTTTGTAATTTCTTAAGTCCAAAAGAAACTGAGGATTACATTTTAACATTTCCATGAAAAATGACCTTGTTTCAGCTTTCAAATGTTACATAACTGGATCTTATTGTCAATAAGCTGTAAAACAAACATTATTAGGATTTCTAGCGTTCTTCCTTAAATTTCCGACAATTAAAGTGGTTCTCTCTGTTTCAGCTTCGGGAGGAATTCGATAGTGGAAAAGACGTCAAATTAAATGAATCACACAACCCGCACGATGTAGGGGCGTTACTCAAAGAGTACTTCCGGGATTTACCGGAACCGCTCCTAACACGTGACTTATACTCAGCCCTTGTTGCCACGAGACGTAAGTGAAAAAAAAGTTTATGTGATAATTTGTATATTTGAATGAATATCTCTCACTTCCTTAAAAGTAAAGATTCTGTTTCACTTCAACAACTTAAACATCACTCCTTGTACCATTGTAAACAGCAACGGACTTCTGCTTTCACTCTGGGAGTCAAAATGACAATTGAAACAAAGGTTATAGTGTTTTTAATTCCCTGTTAATATCAGCAAGATCTATACACATGCAATGTACTCGTTTGTAGAAATCTGCTGAACAGCTAAATTTTCAGTTTTTAATGTAACACGTGACACTGTTTGAATATGAAATTAAAATTAAAACGAACCGGACGTATATACATACGGTTAAATCGTTCCCTGCGGTTGTGACCAAAGTGGGTCATCTCAAACGACCAACTATCAGTATCTGTTTCTTACGGTGCATTTAACATATTGTATAAACACTCATCACCCCTCCGAGCAGTTTGAATATTATACGTCTTGTTGTGTATAGCTAAATCAACACAAGGTTTGACACAAGTTTTATGTTGTGTTTCTGACGCGTGAGTATATACGGGTTTGAAGGATTAAGGAAGACTATAGATTTTGATTTCGCCCGAAAACATACTTTTGAAAATCTCCGCCCACAAAGTCTGCCCTGGTTGAAGTCAAATGCTTAATCGGTTATCAGATTCTAGGTCTACATCACAATAAATCCAGACTTTGTATTTTAGTAAATGCAGGATTAGTTTTGCTGCATGCAAAACCAAAACAGCTTATAACACTTCCAATTCACTGTTAACGAAGTCAAGAAGTAATCTGGTTTGGTGCACTCCATTAAAAAACACACTTAAAGTGTTCAAAATTAATTGTACTTTACTATAAAAATACGGTTACTTCGTATTTGCTTTCATGAATTTTAGAATCTGTTGTTGACATGAATAAACTTAACCATAAAATGTTCGTTATGTTGATTCCGGGCATTGACAGAATTTAGCAGATGTTTTCGCTGTACAGATGATTTCTTTTTTCACTGAAACGTCTATATGGCTCAGAACACTACCATAGTTAACATGATTTGTTTGGTATTGTTAACCTTTTGACACGTATTAATATTGGGTTTAATTTACAGGGTTATCGTCCTTTGAGGAGCAAATCTTATCCCTGAAGTATCTTATTTATCTACTTCCGGCGCCCAACAGAGACACGCTGTTTGCCCTTCTCAGCTTCCTTTCGAACGTGGACGCTCATTCCACGGACGCTGTCGACGAAAATAACGAAACGGTAAGAAAGAAAATGATTTTGTATATTTGATTTTTAAAATGTATTTATGTGTTTTTTGTTTATTTTGATTATTGATTGTAATCAGTCATCTATTTTATGTCGGTTTTTATTTATCATTATCGATTATGTGGAATGTCCCATAAATTAAAAAACGTGCACCTACTACACTACACTACATTCCCATTTGAACTTTCTAATTATCTTTAGTGAAAACACAAAGATGAATGTTCATGATTGATGTTCTAGCTACAGAAACTGGAGTCCATTATCATTGTAAGGCATGTCAGAAACCTTAAGTATATAACTAAGACTCAAATTTACTCAGAACACGTTTTTGGAAACACAAAAACATTCTTAAAATAGAAACATATATAAAAACAGCATGAAAATGTTAAAAATATTGAAGAACGCACCGAGACAAAAGTAGAAATATATGAATATGCAGTCAGTAATGACGCAACAAACGCCACAACGTTTTACGGTACACGAGTAATGCAATTTTATCAGAAACGAACATGTTCTCTGTAATACACTGTAGCTAAATCTTCATACCGACAAGTATTCCTCACTTTCAAAATGGCCTGTTTACTTAACCGATATAATCAACGAAACGAAAAACATAAAAACAGCATTTATGTACACAGTATTAAAACGGAATTCTACAGTTATTAGCAATTAACATTCCTCCATCTAATTAACTGTTCGGGGTCATTCATGTGTATGTTACATTGATCTATATATAACTGACCTTATTCGATACACCTTGGGCTTTTTATATTTGTCTATTTTATCCGACTGGTCCTCATCACAATGCATCTGGATATATGCCATTCGGAACCATTCATCCGGAACGCCTCTCAATAATACAATAGTGGAGATTATGATCGACTCCTGAACAGCCCATTGTTAGATTTACTATACTTTATTTTCTTAAGAAACTTTCGAACAATGTCTGAATCTGCATACCTATCGGGCTGTGAAAGTACCGTGTTAGTACCACGTCTCCTAATTCTCATCGTAACATGGTCCCGAATTATTCCAACGTCCAAGTGAGAAGTTTTAATTTAGAGAAAATATGTAGGAATCTTTTAATATGTTAATCGAACACAAATGCAATGCCCTTAGGGATCAAACAGATTTGGAACGTTGACCCTGAAAGCTTAACACGAAGTCAATGTAAACATTACACTCAACTCTGTCCCATCCCCTCAAACACTTGGATGACCTTTTATTGTGGAATATGATAGGAACAATTTCTATATATAATCACTTTTAATCAACGCATTCATCCCTAAAGTAATTAGAATTCCAACACTGACACTGTTTTTTCCGCCAACGATTAATATTACAAAACTGGACACGATGTAAAACAGAACCAGATACTTTGGAATAGTTGACAGCACTACTATACATTTTTTATATGAAATATGTTTGTACCAATAAATGGAGTAATGGGGTGCTGGCTTCTGTTGCTTCCTTATATTCTTATTTTTATGTTCTGTTATTGCAGTTACCGGGAAACAAGATGGATTCACACAATCTGGCAACGCTGTTTGGACCGAACATCCTACACAAATGTAAGCCGACAGAGAAGGAATTCCTTGTGGAAAGTATAGAGCGTGCCGAGGAGCGTAAAGAAGTTATAGATGTTGTTAAGGAGATGGTGGACAATTACTCGTCAATATTTTTGGTAAGTATCTCCTGTCTTGCTTGCTTAGCCAGCCTGATTTGTCTCTTCAAGAGATACTGTAATGATTTCTATGCCCCAGTTAAATCAACCATCACGGTACGGTTCAATACAAACATACGTATAACATCTTCACAAAGTGGTCATGATATAGCTATGTGAAGGAATCTTTGTGTCTTAAGAGTCGTTTATACTGACATTATTTGTAGGTCCTAAAAGTTCCCTCCAAGTATGAAATTTTACAATGATATGGTAATTTATATGAAATTTGTATCAACAGACAATAATCAAATGTCAAACTTTGTGTAGAAAAAAAGAAAGAAAATGGCCACATTTTACTATATCTTGAATCAAAATTAACATCAAGTTCTAAAACTTAAATACCTGAAGATTAATACATCGTAAACCCAAAGTGAGTAAGAGTACATGCTGCCTTTGTAAAGTTTCGTTTTTCAATGTCTTTCTGCACTATTTCAGGTACCTGCTGGTCTTTACGACGAAGTGCTTAGGCAAATCGTCGAGACGGAACCGGAAGTAGCAGACCGCATATTTCAGAAGCTCGCCAATGATGTTGGGTAAGTTTTTCATCTCCAAGGATATTATCTGGTACTCTTACGTGAAAGATTAAAGTATAACTGTTCAACGCGATACTTCAATGTACATTATTTATCGTTTGTTTTTGTGTCAGTATTTCTAAATCTCGGTTTGATTGTGTTACAGTGTGGACGGCGATCCGGACACGACTTCCAGTAGTCTGTTTGACGACACTGAGTCCTTACCAAATTCACCATGCAGCGAGGCGGATATAAACAACTCTTCACAGAGACTGCCAGGATTGCACCCGCCATTACGCACTTCACAAAGTGCCGAGAATATGTCTCCGAGAACGCGTCGGAGATTCTTTTTCTCCAACAACGACAATGACAAAACAAACAGTGAGAACGCCGAGCGAGAGAGACGGCGATTTAGATTAAGGTTCGACAGGAGCCCAAGTCCGCGTCCTCAACGAACACCTAAAGCGAGCAGCTCACGAGTACCTAAAGTAAAAGTGTCGGACAGCGCAAGCCCGGAAGTGATACTGAGGCGACCTCGCTCTGAATATGTGGAAAGACCGTCACATCTAGAGCGACCGCATTCAGAAAACCTTAGTAACTGCCTTGCCATTCCAAAACCGGATTACGCGCGACAAAATAGTAGCTGCAGCATAGGAAGTATTGTCAATACCTCATCTACAAACAGTCCAGTTGGGTCGGAATCACCCTCACAATGGCTGCTTCCTACGCCCCCAGTCTCGGGGTCGAACTCACCCAAGTCCTGCCGCAAGGTGTCGTCCTCGCAGCAGAGACCTCTGGGAATGTTAAGTGGACACGGAAATGACGTTAGGGAAACACCACCAAAAGGTTTGTCAGCATGGGAACGAGAAAAATGGCGACAGTGGGAGATAATGGCGGCGGAAAATGCGGACGATTCATATGAAAAGGAAACTCTAGTGTGAAAGTGGCGTATGACAAGTGTGCTATTTATTCATAACTATATATTAATTGATAGTTACTGTTTTATACTGGAGCATAATGCTATCGATGTGTCCTCATTATGTAGTATATTTATCATTAGAAAGCCGGGAAAAACCACATATTTCATCTCCAGATGTGAATGTTTAAGCAATATCTTTGTGACCTAACTTACCAAACATTAAACTAATATATAATCGAAGTTTTATAGAACATATAGGTCGTAGAGCGCGTGTGGCAGAAACAGATGAACAGAAGCTTGCTTTTTGGTAATTAAATGCAAAAAATACGTCACAAAAATGATAAAATATTTTTTATCCGTTCAGTTGTGCAATAATATGACGGAAATATTCTATATAGGGGTTGTTTTATTATCGCTATTGAAATCAACATTGCATTAACAATCACGTGATCTAGGTAGAGTCCGTAGCTGGGTCTATACAGATTATTACTGACAATCCCAGTGCCTCGATCAGTTAAACGTGAGGGTAGATTGATTAGGCTGCAAGGTGTCAAAACCAACCGAGTTCGAATTCAATCAATTCCGATTTCTGTATCATGTATTGCAAATTCACATCATTTTTTTGTCATGTTTACAACAATTGAATTCTGACACGTATGTTATTGATGAGATCTCTTTATAGCTATTTGGCACATTAAAGAATGAATTTAGTTTTCAAATGTCGCGATAATTGTGCAATTTACACAAGAAATTTACATATAAAGTGCAGTTTGTAACATAAAATTGAAAATTCACGATATAATTTTGTTTTGTTTGGTTTTTACGTCGGCAATTTGTTTAATTTAAATTTATATGCTTGATAAATCTTCAATTAAAAAATCGTTTTCAAATTTGTGTATTTAAATTTCAAAGCAAATCTGTATGTTTATCATTAGAAACCTAATTATCTTCCCACAATATATCCTAACAGAAGTAGTCTGGTCGGATATAAGAAGTTAAACGATAAACAAACAACAAAACGTAACCTCCCAATAAAATGTTTTATTTGAATTTTGGTTTGAGACGTTGTAGCCAAATGTTCTATGTCAGTCAAAGCCACGTGGCATCCTGAAATCTCACGAGATCTTTTTTTTTGGATCGTGTGACCTTGACTAACTTGAAGATGATATCATATATGTATTTCTATTTTAACAGTCATGTTTTGATATTATAGAAACATTCTCGGAAGTGCTGTAGAGAGAAGATTTTATACTGAGGACCTTAGAATTGTACATATATAATGTTAATCATCCTTTGTTCTGTTGAAGCCGACTCATTGTTGCGATATAAGGATGGCTTTGTCTTATTTATCAGTTGTCTTTAGACATGGAGACAATAAATATTAAAAATCAAAAGAAAACAAAAATCTTGTCCGTTCTTTCGTTCTTTCTTTCTTTCAATAGTAAAACACCACTCAGGCTATCATTGGATTTGTTTTCACACAAAACAGAAAAAAAAACACTGCAAAATTGATTATATTGTCTGAACTCTCTGGATTTCTCATAAAAAGTGGTATGTATAATTAGGTACACAAAGTATACATAGATAAGAACATATACAGTACACATGAGTGTGGGTAATGGAATCACAATAAGGTAACCGTGGATTTTATTGACCCTGTTACAATAACCTCACATTAAGTATACGTTTTACAAATGTAAAATAGTCGAGATCTTAATATCTGATGTCCTGTGATTGAGCAGCTCATATACACGTACATGTACACCATATAGATATATCGCTACGTTATAGTACAATATCAGATTTTAAAGTTGGAGGGCATCGGTGAGATCCAGAGAAAAGGACGCCGTGACACCTCGTGATGGACACGATGGGCTCTGAAGTAGAAAATGGATGTTAAGATGTAGATGATGTTTTCTGCCTACGTCATTTTTTTTGATATACGAGAGTGTGGCATACCTCTTAATACGCTACACTTGGCTTGTTCCGATATTCAGAGAATATCTGATGACAGGTTTTCACTCAGTTTTTATCAAATAAAGAAATCGGGGACATTTTCGTATTGATCACAGTTAAAACTGACGAACGCGTGTCTCGGAAATTAACGGAATTAATTAACGGAATAGATAACAAACACGTCTGTTAAGATAAACTCTCAATACGCTGTTGGCAATAACGTTAAATTGCACGAGTGAAATGTGGCGCTCCTGAAGACTACATATTTCTTGAACCCGACATGATACCCAGTCATCATATACACGTAGAGAAGAGACATGTGACGAATATCGATAATTACAGACGATGACACTCGCAAGCTGTTTGATAAATATTCAGCGCTTGTTAAAGTAACACAGCTGATATGTATATATAGGTGAACCAATCATAAATCAAAGTACTGAAAGTACTGAGAGGCTAAACGTATTGAAAAATGTTCACAAATAACCGCTAAGCTATATTACTTTCCCCATACTCCTACACTTTGGAATGCAAAAATTACTAAGATAAGAGAACCAGAGGCTATTTTCCTTAATTTTAAGCGATTTTATTTCAAATTTGACGACAATAATGTGAACAAATCAAAATAGGTAAAAAAATAAAATAACAGAATAAACACAACCATATATTCATCGCCAACAAGCCAAATGATAAATAGCTCTATGATGAAGTTGACTTAATAAAACCTTTGAAATCCCCAAAATGTTGCAATTACTATCCTATCAATATGAGGATTTAGACAAATCGAAAGGACTTTATACCTACTTCTCAATTTTAAATGTATTGCAAAGTAATAGTCCTTACTTATAATCAAATTTGTAGTTGAGGAAAGTAGATGAGGTGTACACAGCATTTCAGATAGATAAAAGTGTAAATAATTACATTCAATGTATTTACATGCCTATCTTCCTTGAAGTATCATGGTTAGATTTTTATTCCAGTAATTATATCTATAAAGACACAGTTCTATGAGATTAAACTAGACTTCCATATATATACAAAATTTACAATATTTTCACTATAGCTACACTATTTCTGATCTCCAATGCTTTAGATAATGTCACCATGACACGCAAAATGAATAAATATGTTATGGAAATATTTTGTTCTAGTTAATTGATAATTATAGACATGAATATGGTTTTTTGTACGCGTTTTGTTTGAAGGAATACTTTCATTTCAAGGAACTTGGATACACATTAACAAACCTAGAGAAATCAGCACAATCAACCTTCATCAAATAAAACTAAAAGACAAAATATATGTTATAACAAAGTCAACATCATGATCAGTACAGTATTGAAAATATATTATTCATAAATCATGAGCACCAATTGTACCTTGCCTACGAAGCGCAAACTTTTTATCTACAAAAACTTGAAAAAGTGTCATGGCGGTGGGTGTGAAAAACCTGAAAAAGTGTCATATCGGCGGGTATGCGCGTGGGACGAACAGTCCAATTTTGTGACGTCTACTGAGGTAAAGTGATGTTATATATTAAGACGATCTTGCCACAACGACAAGGATTAAAGCAAAATTGATGTTCTGTTTGTAAGTTTTGTTTGTTTATAAGTGCTGTTAGTTAATAATTCAAACCAGAGACGTGTTGTATATGTCTCTGTTCAAACCAAGGCCCCAGACTAGCTTCTTATTATGGCGTCAACTCGCACGTACAGTGTTCTGTGCGCTTACGTCATGTCGAGAATACACTTTAAATGAAGTCACGCAGTTACAATAAACTTTGAAGATACAAGAAACCATTTTTTTGCTTACTTACGGCAGAGACGTATCTCTGCTTACGGTTAATATGGTTGTTTTCTAGGAATATTCACAGCAAGCTCGATCTTCTTCGATGTCCGTGAGCAAATTCCGTAAAATATATTGTTCAAAATTTATCAATAGTTCAACCACACTGTGCTTCTTTTTTGAAATATATAGTAATCGTATTGTTATTAAAAATAAACTTATTGAGGATGCTTTTAAAATAGCGATTTAAAAGATCGCGGCATTATTTACGCAGAAAATTTCCGCTAGATGGCTCTAACTCTTTTCGATATTTCAGCCAATGAGAAGGCCAGGATCGGTAAATTTTGTCTGAAAGGCCGTTGCAATAGGCTGTACGTTTAGCATAAAAAGTGCGTATATTGTGGGGTGCGTTTAGGCAGTATAAGGTCATACGAATTGCTTCCCTTGATACATGAATAGACTTACCTGACTCCAACTTTGCACGGTTAGGATCTTTCGTACAGTCTTAACAGGTCACCATGTTCACGTAGTCTTTTATCACATTCATATTTCTCTCACAGAAGTTAGTTATCTGGAACTTCGACTACTTAACGGTCTGTTTATATCCAGGTTATATAACTCTTGGCGGGTACTTTAGATAAACACGTCTAAATGTGGAATTTCTTCAGAGCTCAGGATCAAAGTTCAAATCGGTGAAAATATATTAGAAACCATGTAAACGTAAACATCATGGTAACCAATTTATCAGAAAACTTATCATCCAGAATTTTGACATACTCTCCATGGGACAGAAGACAAATACACAGGATCAGAAGTAGGACCGCAGATGAAAAGTCATGCAAAACATGCGCAATTTTACCTGCCCGTGAACTACCTTGGTCTAATATCAGCATTGTCTGCTTTATTCATCACAGGGAAAATGAGATTTTCTGATTTCATGTGAATTTGTAGGAAACGGATTAAATCGTGATGAAAGTCATACAATTAGATAAAAGAAAAGCGAAATCAGTATTTCCAAATCAGTATGTCTCTCGATTTTTCTGTTATATTTTCATATACGGAAACTACCAAAGAAAAGTCCAACGGATATTCTCTGTAAGGTCAAACGTCTTGACGACAAAACGAAAGCAGGATAAATCCACTGGCAATGGCTTTCTATATTTTCTATCAAAAACGCAGAAAATATGGATATCAAAGGATCTCGACACCCATGATCGTTTGATATTTATTTGTTGAAATGTTGAACTGCTCAATCCAGGATGGTCTGTTCAAAAATCAATGGGCAAACTAGGGACCAAGGGAGATAACTGCATGAAGTTCGAGAAATTAATCCAGTTAATATAGAATAAGTGTCAACAAACGTACACCAAAATATCCAAAATGGCCACCTGTCAGCCATCTAAGTCTCAAATTCAAAAGTGCACTAGGGACCAAGGGAAACCTATATATGAAATTTGAGAATGACCCATCTAGTATTTCAAGAAAGAATAATTAAAAAAAAACTTTTGTCAGAATCGACGATGGCTGTCTTTGAAAGTCATTTCGTTTTCTGATCACTCCCTTAATAAAGGGGCACAATTAGGAAACAAGGGGCCCAGTACTATTGCTGTGCATATGTTCCACGTTTAACACATTTGACCCCTGTGACCTTGACTATGGGTCAAGGTCATTTCTTTTTACAAATTTTCTTGGACTTCATAAAAGGAACATACTGGCTAAATATAAGGATTCTAGGCTTTTAGATATTTCAGAAGAAATTGTTTAAACGTTTTAACACATTTGACTCCTGTGACCTTGAAGATTGGTCAAGGTAATTTCTTTTAGCAAACTTTGTAGGACACCATATGAAGAACATATTAGCCTTATATAATGATTCTAGACATTTTGGTATTTGGGAAGAAGTCGTTTAAATGTTTTAAGATTTGACCTCTGCAACCTTGAATATGGGTCAAGGTCATTTCTTTTCGCAAATTTTATTAGGCTTCATCAAAGGAACCTTCCAACCATATATAATGATTCTAGGCCTTCCGGTATTTTGGAAGAAGTCGTTTAAAGGTTTTACCATATTTGACCTCTGTGACCTGGAATATGGGACAAGGTCATTTCTATTAGCAATCTTTGTTGGGCTTTATCAAAGGAATCTTCCAGCCAAATATAATAAATCTAGGCCTTCCGGTATTTTGGAAGAAGTCGTTTTAAGGTTTTAACACATTTGACCTCTGTGACCTTGAATATGGGTCAAGGTCATTTCTTTTTGCAAACTTTGTTGGGCTTCATCAAATGAACCTTCAAGCCAAATATGATAACTCTACGCCTTTCAGTATTTCAGAAGAAGTTGTTTAAATGAAAAGTTGATGGATGCAGGATGGACGGACGGATGGCGCAATGGCATAACCTCACTTGGCCCTTTGGGCCAGATGAGCTAACAAGGAAAATGGCTAATGAAATATTTGATTTATATTCATCCAGTACTTTTTCTTATTAAATAGTGTTAACAATCTTTTAATGTCAAAATCCAAGATGGCCACCTGTCAGCCATTTCGTTTTTAGATCAGTCAAAAAAATTTTGATAATGCACAATTATGGGGCCAAGGGGAATATTAATATCAATTTGGAGGAAATCTATCACATTCTTTTAATGAAATAGTATTAAAAAGCTATCTT